AAAAAAAAAATTCATTTTCCAGGAATTTTTTTCATTTGCTCTCGCCACAAATGCATATTGCAAGTATTCCTAGAGATTTTTTAATTTTTTTTTTTTCACTACACTCGTTTTTAGCAGACATTTCTACTTAAAAAAAAGAAGTGAAATAATGTCTACTAGCCTAAAGACCTATTTTTAATAGTAAAAAAAAAAATAAAAAAAAATAAAAATAAAAATAAAAAAGTACCTCCTGACAGAAATTGAACCTGCATTTCCCGATTAAAAAAACAAAAAAATAACAGCAATGTCTACTCAAACGTCTATTGAATGTTTATTAAGAGAGGATGAACAATTTAAAAAAATATCCTTCTTAATTTCTTAATATATAGGATTTTTTTCTATTCAAATTCAATGAGGAAGAAGCTTGAATTTTTGTTGTTGGCCATTCGTGACTAAAAAAAGTATGTAGCAGAAAACGACAACTTCCAAACATCAGTAAATCTCCCCGCCCCCAGCTCTGCTCCGTAGTCATCTCGGCTATTTCTGGAATGTAAATATCTTCCGGATATTATTGATACGATAACAAATACTGAAGTGTACCCATTAACAAATTATTCCCCCATTAATTCGTGTACTTTCTGAAAAACTGGTACAAAACAAGACGAAAAGAAAAAAAAAGTAGAAAATCAAATCTGTGATTAAATGTGTATGACGTCACGGAAACATGCGAAGTATTTCAAACCTTGCAGTCGTGCAAATTCGAGCCTCCCATTTTTTTTTTTTTAAACCCTTGCTTCAGTACCCTGCATCTTCACTCGCTCGCATTTATTAATTTAATAAAGGAATCGATTATTTCTATAACTTAATACGTTTTTAATGGTTGTGTGAATTCTTCGCCTGTTTTCGTGATGTTACATTTCACAAGAAGACCCAACCCGACTTGTGTATTTTACAAACGAAACCGGTAGAAAAATGTGTGAGGGCCTCTGTAAATGTCGAAATTAATTTTCTTTTTTTTTTCAAAGTTAATTCTACATTAATTCTTAAATATCTAGCTAAAAAAAAAAAAAAAAAAAAAGAGTAAGACTTAAAAATAAGATATTAAGTTTTATTTCTAATTTTATATTTGACCCCCACAATTTTTTTTTTTTTTTAGAATACATCCTATAAACAATTTTTGCTTTAATTTTTAATTTAATTTATTTGTGTTTTTCGTGTGTACTTATTTTCTGAAATTAAACTAATAGAATCTTTTCATAAATAAACTTAAAATATTTATAAGTTAATGTTATGGAGTAAAAAAAAAAAAAAAATTTAAATTAATGAGAACTCTTACAGAGGACATCAAAGGAAAGAGAGAAGAAAGGACTAAACATCAATTGCAAGAAGATGGGATGCATGGTTGTTAAAAATAGGAACAGCCCAAGATGCAAATTACAAATTGTAGCTACCAAAATTAAACAAATACAATTTAAATACAGTGTAACCCGGATATAAGAGAGTTGTCGGGACCGGAGAAGAAGTCTCTTATATCCGGGTTTGGTCTATTTTATATACATTAACACAGGCTCTAATTTGGGACCAGAGAAAATCTCTTATATCCGGGTTTCTCTTATATCCGGGTTACACTGTATCTATTTTATGAGAGGACAGAAAGTGCAACACCAAAATTCGAAGGTGCATTGGGATAGCAAAAGATGCCTTCCAAAAGCAAAGCAAAGTATAAAGAAACAGAAAATTTCATTAGAAACCAAGAAAATAATACTGAACTGTTATGCAATATCAGCTGTTCTATTTGTTCTCCTCACAGATGAAAAGACTTGAAACAACAGAAATATGGTTCTACAGAAGGATGCTGAGAATGCTATGGACATGTTCTGTCCATGGTATTCTCAGCAATGATGAAGTTTCAGAGAAAATGGAAACAAAAAGGAAAATTCTCAAGGACACATGGCACAATGGATAAAGGCGTTAATTAGATCCAGTGACAGGACCCAAAGAGTGTGAGTTCAATACCCAGTTAAAGCAGTGGAGAACTTTCAGAGGGAAATTAACAGGAAATAACTGATAACTGACATTCATTAGACATTGCAAGTGGAACTAGAACAGTCTACCCCAGTGAGTGAAATAAAGGGTTCAGTTCAACATTCCAACCACCTGAAGAAGGCTGGAGCATACAACAGCCGAAAAGTTGCAATAAATATGGCAACAAAGATAAGGACAATAGTCTGAATAATGTAAAGGAAAATTGTACTTAACATCAGGAAGAGAAGGTTGAAATTTGTGGGGTACTTAATGAGGAAAGAGGGCTTGGAAAATTTGATATTCACAGGGCAGATTGGAAGCAAGAGGGACAAAGGAAAACAACGCATAACCTATTTAGGGAGCTTGAGTAAATGGATGGCAGAACAAAGTTTAAGAAAGATAACAAAAAGATAAAATTTACTAAGAACCATAAAGGACAGGAAATTGTGGAGAGCCACAATCGCCTAAGTCCTGAAGAGACACAGCATATTAAAGAAGAAAGATTTTAGACAAATGATACTCTGAAAACAAATTTAGTTTTTTGTTTAGTTCTTAGTAAAGTTTCAGCAAAAAGCAAAGAGGCTGAAATCCTCCAACCACTTAGTGCCATAGATGATTTATTGAATTTAGCCACACACACCTGCAATTGACATGACAACAATCCTCCAGTATTAGTTAATGTTGTAGCATACCTACAGGCTTTAATGGGTATGCCCCCATTCCCATAAAAACAATAGTAAATACTGTATGTTGGTCTGCAGTTGGAGATTCATTGTGGAATTTACTTGACTCATTCATAGCAGTTGACTACTACTTCTATGCGCCACTGACGAATCTTATACATGTTGTTCTTGTCCTAAGTATTATTGTTCATTACCAACCTTCGTGTGATTATCTTATTCAGTAACCTTTCCTAGGTTACAACAGTTAAAATGCTCATCTGACTAACAATTAGTACCAAATAGTGAGTTTGAACCTCACTGGGTTCCCACTACTTGACACTATTTAAAATTTGTATGAAGACATAAATTGAACATCTCAGCCTTTTTGAAAATGTAGTATTTGTTTTCCCATTTGAGATGCGAGGAGGCACCCAGTCCCAGGGATTTAAACCCTGTGGCAGCACCTTCCTTATTGCACACTGGGAAGTGGGGTCAGTGTAATAAAAACAACAGTGGTTGTGTAGGCTGGGCAATTTTTGTCCTTGGCCCATATGCCTGTTTATAGGTATTCCACATGAAAAAAAACAAAAAAAACATGACCTTATGTGGGGAGAACAGGAAAATGATTTTTTTTTTTTTTTTTTAATTCAACATATGGAAACTTATGTTTACAGTCAAGAGAATCAACATAAAGGTGTTTTCAATTTAATACAAATTCAAGAACCAATTAAACAGGATACAAATACATGGCAGCAGGATGCCAAAAATGGTAAAATCTTGAGTCTTTAAATCTTTGATTCCACATAAACTGTGTAAAGTAATTATTATGCTATTTACAGACTATTGTCCTCATCTTTGTTGTTGTTATCACAATGTTTCGGCTCTTTTGCCTTCCAGCCTTCATCAGGTGTATATCGATCTGGATAACCTACATAACCTAATTCAGTTCATAATTCCCTGTAGGTTTCCCAGAATGATATACACCTGATGAAGGCTGGAAAGCACATCTGAAACACTGTGATAATAACAACAAAAATGAGGAAACTGAATGTAAATAATGATAACCTGTCATCCCAGAAATTCAGAACAAAAATAATTATAATATTTTTCTCTGTACAAAGATTCGTTGTTTTCCACAATGCATCCAATCCCACCCAGTTGTTCAGGGTGAAGTATGTAACTTGGGTGGAGGTAAAAGTAAAATAACATCCCCATCCTTGTGGACTTATGCTAAAATTAAACAAGCTTGGTAAATAAATATTGATGCAAATACTTTGTCTTTTTTTTTATTGTATTAATTAATATTATTACTTATTAATATTAATTAATATTATTATTACTTATTAATATTAATTACCATGTATTTGTCAGTCTCTATAATATTAAACAAATAAAACCTCTGAAATTATTTATACTTGTAATTATTTGCACTTGCAATGCGCCAGTATTATGACTAAAAGATCGTTTACTAATGGACAATTAGGCTTCTTGAATAATCCACACGCCCAATCCAAATGAAGAATAAAAAAAAATGTGAGAGTCTCACCGTCACGTGTACATGGAAATCAGAGTAAAAATTGCTTAAGCCCTGTTGGTATCCCCCCCTCCTTTGGGGACGCCTCAAGCATCAGGGCTCAACCATACACCCATTCCTGTTCAAATATCTTCTTGCATGTTTGTTTTCTTCAGTTTTTTTTTTGTTACTTTTTTAATTCTGACGTTGTTTCTGAGCCAGCAAACATGAAATAAATTTGTTATAAAAATATTTGTATAAAACTAAATTCTTTTCTAAGGCAAAAAAGTAATATCATTTTAAAGGTATAAAGAGAGAGAGCTAGAGAGAGAGAAAATTATCCTTTTTTCTTTTTAGTAGAGAAAAGAAAAAAAAGGAAAGAGAAATAAGGAGTGCAGAAACGATTTAATTTTCTCTTTTTTTAAAGCAGGATATAAGAGAAATTGTAGCCTCACCGTCGGCTGAAGTCCAAAATTGTTACAAATTGACAAAAAAAAAAAAAAAAAAATAGGAGACCTGGCAGGTCGGGAGGCTGAGAGAGTGTGTGTGTGTGTGTGTGTGTGTGTGTGTGAGTGTGTGTGTGTGTGCGAGAGAGAGAGAGTGTGTGTGTGTGAGAGAGAGAGTGTGTGTGTGTGAGCGAGAGAGAGAGTGTGTGTGTGTGTGTGAGAGAGAGAGAGTGTGTGTGTGAGCGAGAGAGAGAGTGTGTGTGTGTGTGTGTGTGTGTGTGTGTGTGTGTGTGTGTGTGTGTGAGCGAGAGAGTTGCGGGATGTAGGTGGAGAAACTGAGAAGGTAAAGTGAGGAAGAAACCATCACTGACTGACCTTAGACAATGGTAGAACCAAAAATGACCCTCCTCCGGCCGCTTCCGTAATAATGGCCACAAATTTCGGGTTGACTGCTGTAAAAGTGGAATCCCAAGAACTTTTTGTGATCCGGATGCTGTCATAGCACTGGTCTCGCCGTAATGCCTTACCGAAGACATGGCGAAACTTACTTTTCCGCATAAAAGCCATAATGGACACTTACACTTGATGTGTGTGCGTGTGAGTGTGTCTCTTTAGGGTGGAGAGGATTAGGGTAAGTTAGGAGATAAACACAAAAAAATATTTAAGTGCTGTTTTTTTTGTTTTGTTTTGTTTTGTTTTTGTTTTTCTTTGTCAGTACAGTGTGACGGCAATGTGTAACCCAGCCCGTCCTGATCAAAGTTGTTACTTTATGTTTGAGGTCAGTGTGTGTGTATGGCAGGGAGGGGGTTGCTTGACTGTTGTATTTTTTTTTTTTTTTTTTTTACTTTTCCTCTGTCCTTGTTTGTACGTGTGTCTCGTTGGCTGAGGATGACAGGCCAAACTGGGGAAAAAAAAAATACATTTTATTAACAAAAGATGAAAAAGGAAGAAACAGTTTGAGGGGCAGAGGCAGAAAAAAATGACAACTTCAGCAATAAAAAGGAAAAGATAGAAAAGAAAGAAAAGATAGAAAAGATAGAAAAGAAAGAAAAGGAAAGAAGAAAGAAAAGGAAAGAAGAAAGAAAAGGAAAGAAGAAAGAAAAGGAAAGAAGAAAGAAAAGGAAAGAAGAAAGAAAAGGAAAGAAGAAAGAAAAGGAAAGAAGAAAGAAAAAGAAAGAAAAGAAAAAGAAAGAAAAGAAAAAGAAAAAAGTGATATTTAATTTTAATCTCTCAAAAGGATTTTAATTTTGAACATTTTTTTTTTAAGCACTTGAACAAAGTATACATTTTATCAAGGCTAAACAGCCCATTGTATTTTTATTTATTTTGCCACAAGTAACGGGGTGGGGGAGTTGATTGGAAAAAAAAAAAAAAAAAACACAATTTGAGGAGTGTCTGTTTTATAAGCATTTACAAGTTCAGTCCTCAATAGGCGCTCCTCAAAATACTTCATACTTTCTATTAAATTTTGATAAGCACATGTAAATAAAATAATGAAAATTTAAAAATTATAAACAGAAGTAGAGACAATGAAATCCCCGAATTTTGACAGTATTTCAATCTTTGGAAACTCAATTCAGCGCAGTTGACCAGAAATAAATCTTTGATATTTTTTTTGCTTTTTATAATCGTGATGATCTAGAGATCACCATGAATATAAAAAAAAAAATTAAATTTTATAAAAGTTAGTGTGGGAAGTGGGGATTTCCAGTTTGCTGTGTAAATAAATTACAAATTGTCCCCCCACCCCACCACCATGGGAGCCAAAACATGCTCATACGTCATCCTTAAAATGTAAAAAAAAAAAAAAAAAAAAAAATACATTTTTAAAACTCAATGTTTAGTTCTTTTTTTTTTCACCGATTGAACAACAAAGTTTTAGAGAGAATGGAAACAAAAAGGACACTTATCCCAAAGATCAGGAAGAGGCAGTTGAAATCTCTCGGGCACATAATGAGGAAAGAAGGCTTGGAAAATCTAATACACACAGGACAGATTGAAAACATAGTGGAAAACAATGCATAACATACTTAGTGAGCTTGACTAAATGGATAGCCAAGGAAACTTTAGGAGAAATAACAAAAAGACAAAATTTATTAAGAGCTACAAAGGACAGGGAGTTGTGGAGAGCCATGATCGCTGATGCCCTGATGGGTAACGGCACATCAAGAAGCTCTCCAGATTATGAATTTCAAAAATTTTGTTTATTCATTTTAGTAATTTTGCCAGGTTACATTAAAGTTGCACTAGTTCTTGAGATATTTAAAATGGCCGGACACACTTCATACTGTAGTGTGTCTCACTCTAGATCATGTCAGAATAGACTTTGCACACATTGTGTGTCACTCCAAACCCCCAAAAGAGCCAGATACAAAGCTAACCCAAAATGACTTCCCACCCACCAAGTATGGATTAACATACCATACCAGCTGCACCTGGGGTTGCAAATGTGGGGAAAGTATTGCAGGAGAGAGAGATACATAGATACCTACACCCCCCCACACACACACTACAAATAGTTTCACGGCAACTGTTCTAATGATCTTTCCTCTGCGATATTTCAACTTTATTTTAAGTGCAGTACCAGATTGTAAAATAATGACCTACCTACAAGTTAAAATGGCTAGATGTAACCATAAGTTCTATGCTAACAGTTTCTTTTCTTGCACTTCTCACCAGTGGAACTCTCTTCTGGCTTCTTGCTTTCCAGTTAAATTTGATCTTCAGAAATTTAAATGTAATGTCAATTGATACCTTCTGCCTTCTTAATTTCTATTCTTTTATTGTTCTCAAGCTTCAATGATGGCCGGTCCTCCAAGGCCCATGTGATCAATGGGGGCATCTCCCAAGATTCACTTCTCAGTTCCTCCTTCTTCTTCCTGCTTTATATTAATGATACGCCTAAGAGCTTATTTTTATCTCTTGTTAATATCTAAGCAGTTGATACAACCCCTTTTCAAGGAGAAAGGGAAAAAGGACAGGAGAGAGAGAAGGGAGGAGAGGGAGAGAAGGGAGGAGAGGGAGAGAAGGGAGGAGAGGGAGAGAAGGAGAGAGGGAGAGAAGGAGAGAGGGAGAGAAGGAGAGAGGGAGAGAAGGAGAGAGGGAGAGAAGGAGAGGGCGAGTGAAGGGAGAGGGCGAGTGAAGGGAGAGGGCGAGTGAAGGGAGAGGGCGAGGAAGGAGAGAGGGAGGAAGGAGAGGGAGAAGGGAGTGAAGGAGAGGAGAGGGAGTGAAGGAGAGGGAATGAAGGAGAGGGAGTGAAGGAGAGAAGGAGAGGGAGTGAAGGAGAGGGAGTGAAGGAGAGAAGAGAAGGGGAGAGACAGAAGAGGGAGGAGAGACAGAGGAGAGGGAGAGAGAAGGAGACAGAGAGGAGAGGGAGAGAGAAGGGAGACAGAGAGGAAAGGGAGAGAGAAGGGAGAGAGAGAGGAGAGGGAGAGAGAAGGGAGAGAGAGGAGCGGGGAGGGAGAAAAAGACAAAAAGACGGAAGAGGCGATAACACTTATGTGCTTAACAGCTGCTTCTGTGAAATGGAAAAACTTATCAATTTCAAATTTTTTTCATTTAATACCCTCTTCCTTCTTTAAATAATGACCAGCATTCATATTTATGACTGTTAGTGAAATATCTTGTTAAAGTTGTTAAGCTCAAATATTTAACAATGTGATAAGGGAAATTCCATGGGTAGGAGTCATGGAACTTACCAGAAAATTATTAAATCATTAACTTAAGAATTAAGATTTGTCAGAAAATTCAAATAGCAAAACCTATAAGATTTTCACCGGTCCTATTAGTTATACATATTGTGAAGTATTCTTTTTTTCTTTTTCTTTGACCTCTCCTGCTGCCTTCCTCTTCCCTTGTTTAAAAAAAAAATTGTTATCTATTGTCTGTCTTAATGAGGCAACTCAAGTTGTGGGTCAATAGATCACACAAGCTGTTATCTTCTTCAAGCCAAATCGTAAAAATTTTGATATAAAGAGGTACGTGATTCTCAGCAGGTCCTGAGTCTATTTACATCTGTGCTTGAATCTGCTTGGTGGTTGAAGCAGTTGGGTATTTTGCACCCAGACCAACTTTTGGCTGTACAATCCTGGTAAATATCTAGGATTTCAAATGCTGACTTTAATGGTATTCGAAACCTTCCCAATTGAGATTGGTGAGGGGGAAAAAATTTCCTGACCCTTATTTGGTCAGCTGACTAAACTTAGTAAATATCAATGGAATGTCTGAATTGGTTGGTGGTATTTCAAAAATAAAAATTTTTAAAAATAAGATCTCATTTAATTCTTGTACTTTTGTGTAGCGATTAAAGATGTTTTTATTATAATCTCTTATACAAGTTGTCTAGGGAAATTAAAACCCAACCACCCCTAATCAAAAGAGATTGAATTTTCCTTAAACATAACAACTCAATATATTTAGATTGTCTGCACTTATAAATTAAGCAAATTTCTTAGAAAGTTATTCCTAACATCACTTGACAATGGAACGAAACTCTGGATTTTAAGTTTAATTTTTATAACTAAATTTACAATTTTAGTTTTCAGTATTGAAACAGAAACACCAAAACAAAATCCCCTTAAGAATGGCTTTCAAAAAACTGTCATATATATATATATATATATATATATATATACACACACACACAAGCTTAAAAATCACCCTATCAGGTGACATTTAAGCGTGCTCTTGATTGGGCCTTCATCACAATAGGTAGAGAGGAGTAGATGCGATAGACAGTAATAAACTGCAGAAGAACTCAAAATTGTTCACTGCATTTAAGTATTGAATTTATATTTAAGCTTAGCTTTTAAGAGTTAAAATGATAATTTTTTTTGCCGCCACTTAATTTAATGACAATTTGATGTATGTAGGTCCTTACTTTCCATACAAACAATTATTTTTATTTCATGGGTGACTTTCGCTGGATTTTGCAATTAATTTTGATTATTCCAAAATTTATTTCCAAGTTATAAAAACTGTTGTACAAAAAAATTAAAAAAAAAAAAAAAAAAAATTCCTAAAAACAATTGCAGTAATGAAACCTTGGAAATCCAAAATTGCAGGTCAAGATCCGGCCCAGAATGTTTTTAATTTGCTTATAAAGTTAACATACCATTTTGGAATAAGGCTATGTTGGGCTACTGTCTCTAGGAATAAAGTTGAAAATACAGACAATTTTATTTTGAAACACTGTAATTTGAGAATTTTTTCATTTTTTCATGAGAAAGTTGAAGAGTTGTGTCCCTTTAATTGTTTTTATCAGTAGAAGCCAAGATGGTGGAATCTGAAAACAATCACAGTAATGAAAACTAGAGAATCCAAAATTTCAGGATTGCGGGTCCAGATCCGGCCCACAGTGTTTTTAATTTGCTCACAGTGTTGGCCTGATTCCAAAATGGTATGATATGTTACATTATGGCTTCTAGGAGTAAAGTTGAAAAAGTGTGACACA